CTTCCTTCCTTCCTTCCTTCCTTCCTTCCTTCCTTCCTTCCTTCCTTCCTTCCTTCCTTCCTTCCTTCCTTCCTTCCTTCCTTCCTTCCTTCCTTCCTTCCTTCCTTCCTTCCTTCCTTCCTTCCTTCCTTCCTTCCTTCCTTCCTTCCTTCCTTCCTTCCTTCCTTCCTTCCTTCCTTGAGTGGTCCGCATACTGGGCACTCCCTACAAGGTCAGCGGCCATGATCGGTGGATCCAATTCTAACAAGCGGTGGAACCGCGACGCTGCTCGTGGCACACCTTGCTGACAGATGTTTGTTTGTTTGTTTGTTTGCTTTAACAGTTGATGCCTTCAGGAAGTGCAAGGTAGGAAGTCCTGGGTTTGACAACTGCGTCATGACCGGGCTCAACTCCATCCAGAAGTTCTTCCCTACAGGCAAGTTATTTAATTACGCCTGAAAGAATACAATGTGTCTGTTCTCACGCTATTGCGACTATTAGACAAGAGTCCAGAAACCAAATGACACCAATTGTAATATAACTGAGTGCTGTTTCAGTTGTCTGGGAAAAATTACATGTTTAATATTTCATTTTTATTCTTTAGCTGGAAACTCTTAAAACGTTCAACTCTCTGACTGTCGTTCATTCGTAACTGTTGTGGTTAAATATATATGTATTTGTGCTGCCTGTTGAGGACTCCCGCAGTACAACGTGGGGTCCTTTGACCCTTTCTTCGCGAAGGAGGTGACCCAGAAACGCGGCGGTCGAAACATGAACTACCGTCTAAAGCTGAAGGATGTGTACGAGAGAGGCTGGACCATGTCACACGTCACCAATTTCAGGTACAGTCTGATCCGCCTGGGAACTCCTACACTAAGATGCATTTAAGCACCCGTGATTTGTTTACCATTTTCGGACATCTCTGACTCAGTTTTGCTTATTTATTTTCTATGTGCCTCGTTACTTATTGTTCTTTTTCGTAATAAATAAATCATAATTTTTAACACAGGTATTCACTCCTTGAGCTATCAGACAGACATATTTGTTATTCGGTACAGGAATGAAAAAATAAGGTTTCTTACATAATGGCCTAATCTTGCTTCGTATTTGGGAGGTCATGGCTTCAGATCTCGCCCCAGAAACAGGCTGTACTGATCGAGGTCTTTTGTGGTTTTACCGAGTCCCTCCAGGCAAATGCTGGGACATTACCTTTTCATAAACCTGAATCTGTGAGTGGTATCTCATAAAAACGAGAGAAAAGACGCACTCCAATAAACTATGTGTGTTTTACAAGTGCATGAACATTGTGATTGGATTAAGTGGCTCATGACATGGTAAAGAGGTGTGTCTGTAGTCTGTGTTTATAAATCTAGATACACGTCTTATGAGAACACGTAAGTACAGTCCGCAGACCAGGAGAAAATCCCTGCTAGGAATTCGATATACGCGCGTGCGCAAGATTTCGCGACGAGTGACGACCGATCCTAAAAGCATTCGTTCCACGACCACTGAACGAACAACAGACGACAGGCTCTCACGTGTTCTAATGGGTACAGCTTTAAGATTATCTCACAGCGGCACAGCGATTTAATCTAGAATATTATCGCAGAACACATTAGAGGTGCACTCACTACACGCTGGTCTCAACTGCTTGATGTTTTCAGTCTGTGTAGTAGCGTAGAACTCTGACGTGTCACACTTCCCACCAATAGCAGCCCTCTAGTCCAGCTGGCAGTAAACATTCCCCCGGCACCGCACCAGAAACGACTTCCCCTTGCAGGGATTTTTCTCGTCATCTGTGGTGTGTGAGTGAGTTTCATTCTTTGTTGCAGGAGTGACCTGAAAAACTACAGGATCAAATATTCCCAGTTTTTCCCTGAAAAATATTTGCAGGGAGACTATGAAATAGAAGGAAGGCTTTTTGACTACCCACTGAGCAACAAGGGGAAGTTCAATCTCTCGCTATGTGAGTTTCACCCCAAAGCGCGTGCGCCAGGCACTGAAACTTTGTTTTACGCATGAGCACACATGAGAAATTCGTTGTGTAATGGGAGAATTAGAACAACATGTAGCGTGCACATTTCTTGAGCGCATTCTTTGTGATTTTTGATTTTCATTACATGGAATTTCTTGATTAGATCTGCAGTTTTATCTGCACAGTAAAGATCTTATTCCAGGTAGTTGGTCAATTACCTGCTAAAACAGGGACACCTTGGGATGCAAATGTGTTATGTTCCATTTATACTGTAGTGAAATGTGACTGTGTATATCTGACAGTCACATGCATAAACAGATTACAGTCAAATTGCGCTAGAAATGGTGATTAACTCTGCCTGTGTGAACAAAAAGCACATTTAATACTGCAGTCCATTCAACGCACTGTCATGCATTTCTGTGTTGGAACCGCGCTGCTGGGATGGCGAACCAGATAACTACACGCAGACTACGACTGCCGCTCGACGCCGACGCTCAAGGGACGGCGAGGGGTCAGACGGCGGACCAGTGAAGGTGAAGATCGAACAAGATGGCATTGGGGACATGAAGCTGCACATCACAAACCTGTTGCAGGGACGGACCGTCATGGGTGCGTTGAACACGGCAAGCAGGACCAACCATCCTGATCTTTCTTGCCTCTTTCTTATTTCAAAAATTATCCTTTTCATTTTATTCCTTCCTGCCTTCCTTTTCAACAGTTATCCTGTAAGAAAGACTTTTGGCGTTACCATTTTCATGTGATTGCATCTGCAAACTCAAGTAACTTCTGAGCCATTTGGGTGCTTTTTAATTGAACCAGGTTGGGGTCCAGAAGCAATCTGCTGTGAACATGGTAATGAATCTTAAGAGGAAGGTTCTTGAAGATCTGGTTCACTATCAGCTCGTCAAGTGGTTTCTGTAGCTTGTAATAACTTCAAGAAACCTACTGGGAAATGTGACAGCGGTGGGGGCATTCTTTTGTACATGGAAGGGGGGGGGGTTGAAATGCGACGCTGTCATGTATGCGCCAGTGCCGCTTTGTTCTGATTGCAGAGAACATGCTGGATGGCGTCATCAATGTTAGCTGGAGGCCCTTCTTACCTGCCGTGAAGCCTCTCATCGATGACTTGGTGAGCACCGCATTCACCGAGATGTTCAACGATAACTTCCAGAACTTCCCGTTCCACGAGCTGTTTTCGCAGTGAAGCTGTGGGATCTCGATCAGGAGATGGACCACTCCTGGCCGCAGGCTTACCTCTCTTTTAAAAGTAACTTACATTTGTAGATGTAGACTTTCTCTTTAAATAAGCTCTCTATAAATCATTCCTGAAGGTACCAAAGTACACGTAAACACCACCAACAGATAGAGATTATATAACTGATTCGATGGGTCAGCGCTGCGTTCACAAGAGGCAGTCTGTTTGTAGGAAAACTGAGATGAAAAGTAAGTGTGCCAGTAACTGCATGAACAAGGCCTCTTTCCATTACCAAAGGGGGACCTCTGCAGTCTTGCAGTTCGCCCACTAATTATAATTCCTTTCCCTAAACCTAATGTAATGAAACAACTTGGGAAATCAAAAGTTTCATAGAAGGATAATTTTAAATTCTTTAAAATAAATTGTGATACGCGAACTGGAATGGAGTACAGGTTTTGCCTTTATGACTTATTATTTTTACTTTAATCGGACTCACACTGCCGTAAACTTAGCCGAGCTTAAATCTTAAAATGCGATGAGCAAGAATGACTTCATCAAGCAATTGGTAATTTTCAGGTATTCGATAAATTTGTCGTTACTGAATCTGAATTTTCATCACCATTACTACAAAAACTGATACTGAACTCTATTCTCAGCCAGTCCACCCCATTAATTTCAACCTAAGATTAAAATTAAAAATTAAATCCGTGGCGTAACAGCTCCAGAGAGCCTAAGCCGACTGGCTTGACTGCTGGCCTCACGTTCACATGCCTAAGCAGAGGTGAACGATCATCCGACCAGATACAGGTGGACGTGTGGTCAGCATGACTAACCCCCAAGCCATCACTAGTTTTCCTGACTGGATTACGCTACTAATTGTAGCTCCCCAATTTCCTCACGGGTTTGGCACCAGTGCCATACACTGGTCGAAAGCTCATGAGAAAATTTCTTCTCCCCCGAGACTCTAACCAGCGCGCATTCCGTATCACCGGTCTGAAGCATGATGCCTCAGACCGCGTGGGACTCAATTTCAACCTAAGATCCTTCTAATATTATTGTCTGGCATGTCTTAAACCATATTGTATATGAATGGAGGATATTTAAGTCTCTGTACTGTGGGGTTGCCAGCCAGACTTAAACTCTTGATTTTATTGGTGCAAGGGAATGCTACTCCGACACACAGCCAGCAGGACCACACATAAGCCACAGTGCATGAATAACTACATGATTCCTTTTCAAGATATTTCCCAGTGTCAGAGTTTTCAGCCTAGGGCGTTAAAATTATGCTTTGGAGAATAAATTGACATTTTCCTTGGCACAATTTTATTTACAGTGTTATAACAATGTATAACTAATAATACCAGGAAATTACATTACAAAACAGGTTACAGATTCCTTGCTTGTATAGTATTAAAAACTGTTAACTTAGTGCTTAGGAACTTAGTCCACAACGACGGTTGTGTCATAGCTGTTTTCCGTCGTCACCGTCTTCTGGCCATAGACACGGTCCGGGCAGCATACACCAGCCAAACTGTGCATAGATCAGTGTTTGGTCATAACACAAATTCACGGCGTTAAACACATTGCCGTGTATTGTTAATTCTTATGCATTTTGTAGAATATGACTGTTTGGAATTGCATGTAATTATTGAACACTTACGATGGAAATGAATGCAAAATGTAACATTCACGGCACCAACGAGGAAATATGCTCTAAAACGTTTGTATCAGAATGGATGGATTCAGAATCAACATAAAAAAAAATCAAATTACCTGTCACGTGTACAGAAGTATTCCTTCAGGTATATGTCCAAATCTTGTCTGAACACTCGTAGTACACACTGTGGCAGGGGAACACACACTCCACCACCCAGATAAGCACTTGTCTTGCATGCAACTCCGTCTGCAGAAGTCTGAGGACACAGTAATTTATTAATGTCTTGAAGACAGTTTTCAGAAACCTTACGTAGCTCAAGGATTAAAAGAGGAGAGATTGTGCATAATAAAAGGGCAATGAAACATTAGACTAGCCTGTTCATGGCTAAACTGGTATATGGTTATCAATTTGCCATGTACTGAGTTAGGAAGGTTAATTTAATTTGAGAATAAATGCTGAAAGTATCAAAAGTACTACAGTAGTATGGGAACAAAGTGCAATATATTCTGCAGTGCTGAAAGTGTCAAAAGTACTACAGAATGGGAACAAAGTGCAATATATTCTGCATTCTACCACTATATGTCAGAATTTATGCATTTCTAATTTTTAAAAACATTTAAAAAGGATCTCCCCCTGTCATTTACATTGTTGTTACTTTCTTTCTAACTGAGCACTTCAGGGTGGGATTTCCACTGCCTGAAGGGAATTTTATGGTGTGGCAAACCTGTAGAAACAAGAAGCCATTTTATTTGTATGCTTTGTGAATGAATGTGTGGTTTTGTGAGCTTCATTTTAGTGAAATTTCAGTGCCAGTCAATTTTAATGCTATGCAAATGTTGAGATGAAGTGTTTAAAAGCAAGGAACTGTGTGGGGAAGCTAAAATACTGTCAATTTATGCGGGTATTATGTTTAGGCCTAACCCTAATCTTTAAATAAATATTCAGATAAATACAGCTGCTTCACAAAATTAACTTGAAGATTTATGAAGATAAGTTTAGTAACTTTCTAGAAGAAATTAAGAAAGAACTACTGCCTGGTGTACTTCAAAATAATGTGGCAAAAGTGGAGTTAAATTATTCATACAGTGCCAGACTCCACAGTTCATAATGTGCAGAATTTGGAAAAAAATTAACTACAGCATGTAAGTAGTAGATGTAAGATGTTAAGTTTATATCAGGTTAATAAATTATTGCACTGTAGAATAGAATAAAATTTATGTACATTTTACGGATCCTTCATAGGATTAGGCCAAGGATGCAGAACAGTAAAAGCATAAATACATTACTTGTTTCTAAGAATACAATTATAAATTATATAGTTATAACAGTGATTTGCAGTCTACTACAATACTAATTCAAAAATATTTACATAAGAACGCATCACCACTGTTGCTTTGAATTGTCAGCCTAATAAATTTGGTGAAAATTGCAAGTTATGATACCCTCTTTGTGTAATTTTTTCCAAGTCTTTTATATTAACAATTCATCTAAATATTTGGACTCTGGTCTCAGAATCATACCTCATTTATTCCTAGTCTGAAGATCTTGGCTGTTCCATTCTCACCAAGTGGAAGCACAACCATGTCACTTCCATTTGTAACGCCACTCAGCCACTCCAGGTCATCAACATTGTCCAACACTTCACCTGTAACAAATCAGAAGCTGCCGTATTAAATGGTTTTGTACGATGTGAGTTTAGAAATTTAAATTGTGATTACTTGTTGTTCTAAACATTCTAATGCCAGAAATTTTAACATTTCCTGATGCCAGTCTTGATGTAGATTGTCCGTTAGTCCTAAAGTAGACGTGCAAAAGAGTGTTTGTCTTCGCAACTGCCTTTTCGTCATCAATTTTGCTACTTAGGAACTTTTCATTGAAAGATTTACCGAGGCCCTCCCATGTCAGGCACGTTCACTGTCACTGTTCATAGAAATAACTAATTTCAAAGGACACAATATGAGTCGAGAAAGTTTCTGAAACATGTCATATATATGTAAGTGGCAATTATGTGACTTGGAAGGTTTGTGCATCTTGTTTTACAGTAATAATATTACTTTTGGCCCCCAGTCAGAAGCTGGTTATAGTCATCATGCAACTTGAACTGTTCAAACATTGCAATTGTGGGTTCAAGTCCTGCTCAGGGCACGGATGCATGTCCATATCTTATTTTTGTTGGCCTTGCAATGGAACAGTCCGCTGCTCAAGCATATATAAATTAATTCTGAATCAGAAATTTGAGACTGCTTCTATGGCCTCTTGAAGAAATTGTCTTTTGCACTAAAACCGAACTTGGAATGCATTTCATACGTTGCATAAGAAAACCAGAAACTGAAACTGACTTGAGTGATACTGTCTTAATGTACGTACGATACTCCTCATTAATCTGCGTTGTCACTTCTGGAGATCCGATTTCCAGCCGTGTTGTCAGGTATGACGGTGGCCGCGATGACTGCAAAGTGACTGGTTCATCTTGTGCTTTTGGCAGAGATTCCATCTCTAAATTTGCTTCCTCATCATACTTATTTGCGAATACTTGATGTGGGGGCTGAAGGGGTCTCCTTGACGTTGAAAACACTGCCCCAGAAGAGCCAAATCGGTCCACCGCCCCGCTGCCTGTACAAACACTAGGTGTCACTGAAGCTTCTCTTTAGTTTTAAGATTGGTTATTTTAATATTTATGGTATGTTTATAGTTTAATACATAATATTTATACCATAAAACTGAAGATTAATTTATACTGTAACCTCTACATATAAATATATTAAATCCTGCAATAAAAAATGTAAAATTGTATTTATTTGTATTATGATGTATCAGTGGAACATAAAGTTATTCTTTACTGAAGAATCAGAATATGTATGTGTGGCATGGATGTGAAACTTCACATATCCTTAACCTTTAAACTTTGGGTCTGTTCTCCTGTGTAAGATTACATTCATTCATTCATTCACGCCTTTGAAAATAAATACGCAGGTACAGTACAGTCTGTCTGTAACTTAAGAAAAGTCAATTGTATTAATTTTGTGTTCAAAGTTAATCCTATTTCTTGAAGTTGTTGCCGATGGTTCATGACAAAACCACAGATGTCAACATATTATTAAGAAGTTGGCACTAATTCAGCTCCGTGCTCTGCAGATTGGCAAGGTGGAACTCACTGTTGCATTTGTGCCAGAACTTAAAATTATGTTCTTTGTATCACACCTTCATTTAAAAATGTGACTTTCTTATGAAACTAGTAGAATTTCTGAATTCATAAATGCACCTTGAATGTCCTGTTCTCATTTAGGGTAGTGCGGTAGTCGGCTACATTCTACCCAAATGAAAGATCTCCCCTACTTACCTCCAGATGGTCCTGCCTGTGCTGGATTTGCCAGGAATCCTGACAGAGGGAGCGCATAGTGTGAACCGCCATTGTCACTCACTGCGAGTTAAAAACACAGCATTGCACATGAGACTTTGATGCTTTAATATAAACAATAGTTCAAATTTTGGATACCCTGAAGACGAATGAATTGTGTTTTTGCAAAATGTTTATAACTAAGTGCGATACTGTATGACCCTTGGTTGTAGCATGTTAGGGCTCTTTTACAAGATATACAGGTACCAGAAAAACTTGAAGATCTGCATCATTCTATTCCAGGGGTAGAGAAATTGTAGTTCTCAAAGAAATTCAGCCTGGCACATGTCATCTTAAGGATATTCTGAAAATTGGTCAGCTTCATGGTACAGATGCTTTAGCCCCCTTCCCCTTCCATATGCATGAGATAAGCTGGATGGACCCCAGAGCTGGGTTAGATATGATGGTGAAGTCAAAAAGTCCTACCCTGCCAGGATCGAACCCCGGTCATTTAGCCAGTAGCCAGTCACTTTACTAATTGATCTATCCTGGCTCCTTGTATTGTACGGAGGGCTGCTATAAATAGAAACTATTAAGTTACTATTAAATAATATTTGACTCCTCATCCGGGTACTACTGGGTAGCTAAGCCGAAATATAATCTCGTACTAAAATATTTGGTTGTTTTATGGTGCCGTTTGCAAGTGTTATCTTACAAATGCAAATGGGTTACATCCTGAGCAAAGTAATGGTAAGAGATGAATCATACCTGCAGGTTGGACCACCTCCGTGCCCACAGCGCGAGTGTCATTCGGCTTCACAACCACAAGTGATGTCACGGGCGTCACAAATGAGTACTGCCAGAACAGACGTGTATTAGCCTTGCAAATACACTGAACCCTCAGTTTTTGCAGGGAGGATTTGTTCCAAAGGCATTTGTAAGGAGCATATTCTTTAAATTAAAATTATTTTCATTGCAACATAATATTATATAGGCTCAGTAATTGAAAGTTAGTACAGTTTCTCTACAGTAGGGTGGAGCAGAAAGGTAAAATGTGACTTGAATATGATGGTGTTAATTCTGTTTCTATTTTTAGCATTTTACTTCAACGTGCACTCCATCTGCAGCAAACCGTACATCAGACTTCTAATTTAGCTGCAGCTTCTGATGCTCTTCTTTCTAATTGTTATACTGTTGCCACTTTGTGGAGAACACTTTCTGCCTTCCACAACCCCAAAGTATGAAACGTAACTTAGAAGGGTCATGTAAACAGGGAACCCAAGAAAGCTACAAACTCGTATTGATGAAGTACTCCCAAAATAAGAAATGTAAAATTTGAGGTTTTCACAGCGGTGAGTATGAAGATTTCTGTCTTCTGGGTTGTTGCGCTGTGTAGTCTGGTCGATGGTAACCAACGTGGCAGTATGACCTCTGAAACGTTGGTTAACATCGACCAGACTACACAGCGCAACAACCCAGAAGACAGAAATCTTCATACTCACCGCTGTGAAAACCTCAAATTTTACATTT